AAAAAAAAAAAAAAAAAATCCCCAGAAAGACATCTCACAATCTAGGGCATGCTGACAACATCCATGCCTGATTCATTCTGGGTAGTATTTGCAAAAATTACTGACTCAATCTTAGATTAAATTTTATTGCATTTTCTATAATTATGTTTGCATAATATTTAGATATAATAAAGTATCTTGTAAGTAAAAATTTTTTCTTCATGAAAAAGCCTCAATAATTTGTAACAATTGCCTCAGAGTACTTTTATGAAGAAATTTCATTTTATTATTTTCAAGTGTGCTCTCCTAGTTTCATCTGACCTCAATGCCTAAGCTTATTCTTTTTTTTTTGAGTCAGAGTTTCACTCTGTCGCCCAGGCTGGAGTGCAATTGCACGCTCCCAGCCACCGTAGCCTCGACCTGCTGGGCTCAGGTGATCCTTCTGCCTCAGCCTTCCAAGTAGCTGGAACTACAGGCTCGCGCTACCAAGCCCAGCTAATTTTTTTATTTTAATTGTAGAGACGAGGTCTCACCATGTTGCCTAGGCTGGTCTCCGAAACTCACTGGCTCAGGCAGTCCTCTCACCTTGGCCTCCCAAAGTGCTGAGATTATAGGCTGGAGCCACCATACCCAGCCACCTAAGCATATTCTTATAAAATCTTAGGACTAAAGAGGATTTACCTTTCTGCCTTAAACAAACTAAAAAAAAAAATGGATGAAAGAAATATTTTTAAAAACTAGTTTTTGGGCATTGGATAACAGATAGCACAGAACAGTAATCCCTGGAAGGGGAAGCAAATGAAGAGAATACATACATATATATATAATACACACACACACACACACACACGTATATATTATATATACGCATATATAATATATAATATATATGCGTATATATATATATATAAAATGTGTGTATATATAAAATGTGTGTGTGTATATATATACACACACACACACACACATTTTTTTTTTTTTGAGTAGGGTGTCTCACTCTTGAGCATGCTGGAGTGCAGTGACTACTATAACCTCGACCCGCTGGGCTCAGGTGCTCCTTCTGCCTCAGCCTTCTAAGTAGCTAGAACCACAGGCAAGCGCTACCACGCCTAGCTAATTTTTGTATTTGTTGTAGAGACAAGGTTTCACTAAGTTGCCCAGGTTGGTCTCGAATCCCTGGGCTGAGGCAATCCTCCGCCTCCCACAGTGCTGGAATTACAGGTGTGCACCAGAGAATGCTCTAATTGCCCTGCTTATGGGAGAGAACTTTCATCTGCCTCCCTGGGTTGAAGGAATGAAGCTGGGAGTTCAGGGAGGTCTTGTGGCTAGAGTTCCTAAGGCAGGGCCAGAGAGGAGAAAGCTCGACATAGAGTGCTTTCAAGATCTGTAGGGGATCTCCTTCAGGTGTAGCTGGCTACTGAGTCATGCACGCATGTGAGGGCACTACTTGAAGCCAGGGAAAATGATACCTGAAAGGTGCAGGCAGAACAATCCCTGAAGTTTGTAAGGGGCTGGGAGGAGTTTATGTTCTCACCAGCCAGAAGGAAACAACGTTTTTATATGTTGGACAGCAGGAGTTCTTAGAAGGATCTTGCCTTGGTAGTGGTAGAAGCTGGGAGTAGTTGCTCAAGCCTGTAATCCCAGCACTTTGAGAGGCCAAGGCGAGAGGATTGCCTTTAGTCCGGGGGTTCAAGACCAGCCTAGGTAACTTGGTAAGGCCTCGTCTCTACAATAAATTAAAAAAAAAAAAATAGCTGGGCGTGGTGGCATGAGCCTGTAGTTCTAGCTACCTTGAAGACTGAGGTGGAAGGATTGGCTGAGCAACAGAGTGAGACTCTGACTCAAAAAAAAAAAAAAAAGCATGTGGTAGTGGTAGAAAATTAGAAATGAAGAGTCCTCCAGTCCTGCCTCATAAAGCTTAAAAGCAAACCTCAAAAGGACCAAAGTATTTCCAGGAAATTTAACTGCATCACAGAACTTAGCTGTTTCAAAGCTCAAGAGTATTTAGAATAATGCAAGAATATGCAGTACCTGGCCAAGTACAATTCACACCGTCTGGCACACAATTAACATTTACCAGGCAGCAGACTACATGTCCTTCTTCACGGCGCTGTATGGTGAGAGTGACCTAGTCTAGCCTTCCTGCTGGTGGCCACCCTCACCCACACCTGCCGATCCCCACCTGGAAGGTTCCAAGCCAGGCCATGTGGCGTCCAGCCTCCCTGCCCGCCAAGTGATGGTTGAGAACATTTTTTTCTGCAAAAAAAGGAAAAGTTACATTTAAAAAGTTGAAAACCAAAAAACTACATATTTTATTATAGAAAAAGTATTTTTTTCCTCCACCAGACTTATATGGAAAGAGGAAGAATTAAATATTTGCACCGAGATGCCTTGATTTGTCGTGACATAGGAAACTGAGCATGAAGTTCTACTCCAGCCTTTGTACTGATTTTTTTTCTTTCTATTTATTCTTTTTTTTTTTTTTGAGTTGGAATCTCACTCTGTCCCCCAGACTGGAGTGCAGTGGCTGCTCCCGGCCACCGCAGCCTCGACCTGCTGGGCTCCGGTGATCCTTCCGCCTCAGCCTTCCGAGTAGCCGGAATTACAGGCATGCGCTACCATGCCCGGCTGATTTTTTGATTTATTGTAGAGATGAGGTCTCGCTGCCCAGGCGGGTCTCAAACCCGCAGGCTCGGGCAGTCCACTCACCTCAGCCTCCCAAAGGTACGGGATTACAGACTGAGCCACCGAGCCTGGCTCCTTCTATTTATTCAATCTGCTGTATTCATTTCTCCAATATCATGTCCACCTTGGTGTGGGAGTAGGTAGGGAGCTCTTTCGTTAAAAGGCTCATAGGTGCATGTGTGTTTGCTAGCTCACTTGTCCATGTGAATATTTTATGATATCAAAGAAACCATTTAAAAAAATAAATAAATAATACAATTTACCAGGCAGGTCGGATGTAGTGGATCAGGCCTGTAATCCCAACACTTTGGGAGACTGAGGCAGGAGGATTGTTTGAGCCCAGGGGTTTGTGACCAACCTGGGCACCGTTTTAAGATCTCATGTCTACAAAAAATAAAGAAATTAGCCAGGCATGGTGGCATGCACCTGTAGTCCTTGCTACTTAGGCAGAAGGATTGTCTGAGCCCAGGAGGTGGAGGTTGCAGTGAGCCATGATCACATGATCATGCATGCCACTGTGTTCCTGCTTGGGCAACAGAGTGAAACCCTGGCTCAAAGAAAAAATAAAGTACCAGGTATGCAAAGACGCAAGACACTAAAATCCTTGATAAAGAGAAACATCAATCAATTGAAATTGACCCAGAACAGATGATAGAACTAGTGTTCAGAGATTTTTTTTTTTTTTTTTTTGAGTCAGACTCTGTCACCCATGACCACTGCAACCTCAACCTGCTGGGCGCAGGTAATTCTTCCACTTCAGCCTTCCAAGTAGCTGAAACTACAGGCGTGTGCCACCATGCCCAGCTAATTTTTTGATGTGTTGTAGATACGAGATCTCACCATGTTGTTCAGGCTGATCTTGAACCCCTGAGCTCAGGCAATCCTCTCACCTCTGCCTCCTAACGTGCTGGGATTACAGGCGTGAGCCACTATGTCTAACCAGAGATGTTTTTATTACTGTGTTTCACATTTTTAAGAAGGTAGAAGATAACATGAGCGTGTTAATGTAAGACATCAAAAATAACAAAACAAAACCAAATCGAACTTTTAAAGATGAAATAAAAATCTGAGATGAAAATACATTGGATGCTGAGCCCGCAGGTTCGAGACCTGCCTGGGCAACTTGGCGAGACCTCATCTCTACAATAAAAATAAAAAAATCAGCCGGGCGTGGTAGCGCATGCCTGTAGTTCCAGCTACTTGGAAGGCTGAGGCGGAAGGATCGCAGAGCCCAGCAGGTCGAGGCTGCGGTGGCAGGGAGCGGCCACTGCACTCCAGTCTGGGCGACATAGTGAGTCCGACTCAAAAAAAAAAAGAAAGAAAATACATTGGATGACATTAAGAGATTAGACACCGCAGAAAAGATTCATGAATTTAAAAATACAGCAGGCTGGGCATGGTGGCTCATGCCTATAATCCCAGCACTTTGGGAGGCCAAGGTGAGAGGATTGCCTGATCCCAAAGGTTTGAGACCAGCCTGGGCAAGTTGGTGAGACCTCATCTCTACAATAAATCAAAAAACTAGCTAAGCGTCATGGTGTGTGCCTGTAGTTCCAGCTACTTGAAAGGCCACGGTGGCTGAGAGCTTGCCGTTGCCCTCCAGCCTGGGCGACAGACTAAGACTCCTACTCAAAAAAAAAAAAAAATACGGCAATAGTAAATATTTTCAGTGAAATGTACACAGAAAAAAGACTGAGAAAAATAGAGCATCTCACAGCTGTGAGTGGCCTAAAAATTATATAATTGGAGTTCCCAAAGCATATGAGAGACAAGGACAGAAAAATAATTTGGATAAATAATGGCAAAACTTTCCAGATTTGCTAAAAATC